TATTAATTATTTATTATTATATGTAATAAATGATGTTAGGCACAGTAGTCATGGAATCTAGCGACCCTGGCACTTAAGGCTGGACTCCTGAGAATCCTAAATTAATAAACCCTGATATACATAATAGCAATTCTGAAGTGGCATCTGCCTATGTAGGTCACTTGTGTATCTTCATTAAAAAAGTGTGCAGGACGATTGGTTGCACGGCTCACACGTGCGTGACTAATAGTAGTAAAAGGATAAATATCCTTACAATTTTTTATTTAATATTATTTAGTGCAATTTTTAACCAAAACCCATATGTACAAATTTACATCCCATTTATTTATTTCAGTTTTTTGGACGATTTGGATAGATTGGGAGCAAAAGACTATCAACCAACGGAGCAAGACATTCTTCGTACAAGAGTTAAAACGACTGGCATTGTTGAAGTGCATTTTTCATTCAAGAATTTAAATTTCAAGTAAGTTATCAATTCTGCTGAATTATTTATCCATTCACTTTTATAATACGGGCAGTAGGTGCTGATGTTTTATACAGAACGAAAATGCACATTTAATCTAAATCAAAAATTACAAAAGAACAAATTACAACAAACGAATGCCTATTTTTTATATCGATGTGTAAACGGAATACTAAAATTAGAACAATCAGCTAGTTATAGTTGAGAATGTAGATAAAATGACGGTTTCTCGTATCGATTTGTATTGCAATTTCACCCCAGATATTATATGTTCATACGAAATATTTGTTGAGATTATTAAAGTATTTTTGTAAACTGCAATGATAACGTAATCATTTTGGTTTTCCCCTTTAGTATATATATATCGCACAATTAAGTTATTTTTACACGGTTTACATATGCATACATCTAAAGAACTTAATCATTTTGATATTAAGTTTAAGTGACACAGTGAAATGTCAGACAATGAAATAATTATTGTCTAATTAATTAATTTATATCTATAAACCAGGGCTGTTTGATTAACAGACAACAAATTCGGAAAATTCTTGATCTTTTTTAAGTCAGTTCTGATTAGGGTTGATCGCGGATGAGGATGAGGGTAGGTATCGACAATTAAAATTCTAATGTTAACATACGGATATCCTGATTACACAGCCTGACTATGGCCTTTTCGGTAGACCTACAGAGGGAGGAAATATCCCCAGAGTACTGTAGGGTGTAAGGATGTACTAAGGAGGGATATTTCGAAATTCAGCCAATAATAGGTGAAAGGGAGTGGTAAAGTTTCTATAGAGGAACAGACTCGAACAACAGTAGCACAACTTTTCAAATTTACCCTGTTTACAAAGGAACTAAATACGAATATAAATAATAAAGCTGAAGCTAAGTTCAAACTTACTTGAAAAACTTTTACAAAGTTTAATAACATTTTTACATAAAGTTAATGAAGTAAAGAAGACGAACGACAACGTAAAAAAGTCAGTTATTATTTTCCAGTCTCGTTAGATGTTATTAAAGACTAATCTTTCTTAATTTTGAGTTAAGGGCGTGATTCTTGTAAATTGCAAGCAGGCACATTTATTTTAAACAAAAAAAAAATTTTAGTTCTAAATAATGTTCAGACATTTCGAGATTTTACATAAAACAATCCGTTTTTACGAGATCCTCGAAAATGCGTCGTTACTATTGAAAATTACAAAAAACTAAATACAGAGATTTAGAACAGTTTTCATTAGGAAATTTACAAAGGTAAACCACATATTTCAGGTGCTTTGTTTTAAAGCCTTGGAAGGAAGAATGTGTTGAAGGATTTCGATTAATTTCAGGCTTATTCGAAATCTGGAAGCTGGTTTTATTCAGCATTCAATTTATTTTTACTTATTTTTTGGCTGAAATAAGTCGTCATGTACTATTTTTCTTTCTAAAGTACATTTCGCTGTTGGGCATTCTTTCGAACCCGGTAGGTATATACG